ACACAGGCGCTCGGGATGTTGGAGAGCTAGGTGGGGGCATCTGAACTCGGGCAGAGGGTGGGACGGCTCCTGCGAGACGGGGCGGGCAGTGAGGGGGCGGTTTGAGGGTTTCAGGGGCCTGTGCAGGGGCCTCACCCAGGGTCTCCATGACCACGCGGGGAATCACCTCCTTCAGGACTTCACAGTTGGTGTGCAGGGCGGGGTTGGAGTTCATTTCTAGCAGCCACACCTGGGCCCAACACTGGTCAGCATCCTTCCCCACCCACCACTTGGCCAGCAAGAGGCTGAGGCCCTGGTCCCTGTTAAGCCAGGTGACCCTGGGCGGGTGGCTCCTTTTCTATGGCGCACTCCCCAAATTTGCCCGAGGAGCTGGGACTCTAAGGGTCTGAGGGTCTGGCCTTGGAGGCTGCCCCAGCTGCAGGAGCGGAGCCTTATGGACACACCACCCCCAGGGCTTAGGGAGGTCTGCCTGCAGAGTCCCCCCTGGAGGCCTGCCTGGGTGGTCAGGCTGTGCATAGACAGGCCCTGGCCCCCCTGCACCTGCCTACCAGGCCCCACCGCCCTGGGACACCTCAACCACACCTTGAAGTTGTCATCGATCAAGAAGTCACAGCCAATGAGGTCGAAGTAACCCAGCTTGCACTCCAGCTTGGACTTGACCGCCAGGAAGCAGTGGACCATGATCTGCTGCATCCGCTTCTGTGGGTGGGGCAGGGAGGGGGTCACTGGATGTCACCTGTAGGCACTGATTATGCCTCCCAGTCCTGAATAGCCACAGCCACACCCCTCACCTGCAGTCTCACCTGCGCCTCACCTAAAATTCACCTGTGTCCTCACCTGCAGAGCCACACCTGCCCACATTTTCGCACTCTTGGAGTTCGAAACAGGCTTACAGCCAGAAACTCAGTCACTCTCGTTTTATCCATTCAGCATACGTGTGGAACTCCGGCTGTGTGGTAGGTGCTGGGGCACTAGAGCCAAGAGGACCTACGAGGACTGTCTGTCCCTGAACAGATCACGTGCAGCAGGAGAGACAGGCAACACGTGACCCGTAGACCATTATACGCTTTGCACAGCCCACTGAGCAATAAATGCTGATGGAGAAAATGAAGACGGGTGTGGAGATGAGGGTTCTGGGGTGGCTTTTATGATGTAAAAAGGGGTCTAGATGAGCCTCATCGAGGAGATCCTGAGCAAGGACTGAAAACTGGAAGGAGGTGCTGTGGGGCGGGGCAGGGGACAGCTCAGCATGCCCAGGTGGTGGAGCAGCAGAGTGAGCCCGCTGTGTCTGGAAGGGCAGGGGGAGCAGGAGACCAGGGTGGCGCCAGCCACACTTGGGGGCATGGGAAGGGCCTTGCCTTTCTCCCTGAGATCGGAGCATACGAGGGGCCTATGTGGCCCATGCCCCAGTAGGGCCCTCTCCCTGCTCTGCTGAGAGACCGAAGGGGCTGGGAGCTGCTGCAACAATCCAGTGAGAAATGGCGGTGGCTTAGGCAGCTAGAGGTGGTGGGACGGGTTCTGAATATACTGTGAGGTAGAGCCAGGCCGAGTGGCTGATAAAAGAACCGTGAGCCGTGAAAAGAGGGATAAAGGGTTATCCCTACGTGTTTGGTCTGGGACTCGTGAAAGATGGAGCCCCCATCAACTGAGAAGGGGCAGGAAGACCACGGAGTCTGAGACATCTATGAACTGCAGATGGGGCGCTGACAGGCCATGGGATCAGGGGAGAGGTCAGGGCCGGATGTTTAAATATGTCCTCTTAAGCACATAGATGGAATTTGGAGCCAGGAGACTTTCACCACCAATGGGTGTAGATAAGAGCAGAGAAGACATCTGCTGAGCCCTGGGCCTCCAGAGAGCGGAGGCTGGGAGACGAGGGGCCAGCACAGGGGCTGAGATGGAGGGAAGGAGGCCCCGGGAGTCACGGGAAAGAGCAGCTCTGTCTGAAGTGGCTGGCAGGTCAGGGCTGAAGAGGGCTGGGGACTGACCCCTGAGTTTGGCAAGATGAAGGTCACTGTGACCTTGACGAGTATTTCAGTGGCACAACAGGGAGAAGCAGCCTCACTGGAGTGGGATCAAGAGACAAGGAAAACATCAGTGCAGACGTCAGAGGAAGGACGCATGAGAACAGGCCGCTCCATAAATGAAACAACAAAAACAAAACTGGCAGAAAATGGTCAGAATAAATGTTTTCAGAACTCTGGACATTAACCAAAGGCTTGCAGCAACTTGAGGAGCGCTTATTCAAGAAAAATCTCGAACCCTGGTAAGAACAGTGAGCTTTGTGGCATTTTAAGTTGCCCTGGTGATTTTTATCTCCCACTCTCCCGCTCAGCGCAGCCTCAAAAAAAGCCCGCACTCTCAGTCCTGGGGACAGCAGACTGGACCTGGCTGGCAAACAACTGGAGTTACCTGTTGTGTCCTGTCTGGTGGCCCCCTGGAAGACCCCACTTGAAAGGAATCATAGGAAAATATGAGAATGATGTCTTATCAAATAGAAACTATCAGGGAAGAGAGATAAATCATGAAAGGGAGCCAAGTAGAAATTCTGGAGATGAAAGCATTAACAACTGAAATTTAAAATTCACAGAGGGGCTTAACGGTAGAGCTGAGTTGTCTGAAGCTAGGTCAGCTGGGATGATCCAGTGTGAAGGTCAGAAAGAAGGGAGCGTAAAAGCTGCAGAGACCTGCGGGCACCACCAAGCGGACCCACGTGCACGGCGGGAGTCCCAGGAGAGAAAGAGGCGGCGGGGAGTATTCGAAGTGATGACGACAGAAAACTTCCCAGATTTGATGAAAAACATTTTACACACCCAAGAAGGTCAATGAGCTCCAAATAGGATAAACTCAGATAGGATGAGATCCACCACAGCATAAGCAAACTTGCAAAAGACAAAGAAGTGACTCATCACAGGGCTCCTCAGGATGATCATCAGAAGCCACGGGGTCCGGGAGGCAGCAGACGACACATTCGAGCTGAAACAACAAACCTGTCAGCCAAGAATTCCACGTCCAGCAAAACCACCCTTCAAAAATGAAGGGGAAATAAGACATTCCCAGATTTAAAAAAAATAAATTTAAAAAGAAGGTTACCACTAGGACTGGCCCACAATCTTTCAAGATGAAATAAAAGGACACTGGAAAATAACTTAAATTCACATTAAAAAAAATAAAGAGCACCATAAAGGTAATCACAGAGTTAAACATAAAAGATAGTACAAAAGCATTTTTTGGTAACTGCTCTTTTCTTCTATCTGTTTTAAGAGCAATAATTGTAAGTCTGTGCTGATGGAAACAGTGTGTAGAGCTGTAGTTTGTGACAAAACAGCATAAAGGGAGGGTCGGAGCTATATAGGAACAATTTTTTATGCTATTGAAATTAATTTGGTATTAACCCAAACTAACTTGTTATAAATTGAGATGTTAATAGAAACCCCCAGGTCAACAACTAAGAACTCAAAAATATATAGTAAAAGAAACGACTAGAAATGCCATATTACAAAATGCGTATCCACGTAACACAAAAGGAGGCAGTAACTCGAGGACTGAGTAACACCAAAGATATAAGACTGATAAAAACAAATAGCTAACTAGCAGATGTAAATCCTACCTTATCAGTAATTACGTTAAATGTTAAGTCAAACTTTCCAAATAAAAGACAGAGGCTGGCCAAATGCACAAAAGCCCCTTGATATACTGTCTATGATTCAGAGACACAGGATGAAAGTAACAGGGTGGAGAGAGAGATTTCATGCAAATAGCAGCCAAAGGGAGCTGCAATGGCTATACCGACATCAGAGAAGATGGATTTTAAGACAAAAATTGTGCGTATTAAGGAAAAAGTACATTTTATAATGATAAAGATGTAGTAATTATAGCCCAGCCGGCGTGGCTCGGTGGTTGAGCGTCGACCTATGAACCAGGAGGTCAGGCCACATGCCCGGGTTTCAGCAAGATCCCCAGTGGGGGGCTTGCAGGAGGCAGCTGATCAATGACTCTCTCTCATCACTAATGTTTCTCCCTCTCATCACTGATGTTTCTCTCTCTCTCTCTCTCCCTCTCCCTTCCTCTCTCTAAATCAATAAAACACATATTTAAAAAAAGATGTAGTAATTATAAACATACATGCACCTAACAAGAGAGCCTCAAAATACATAAAGTAAAAAAAAACCTAGAGAATTGCAGGGAGACATAGACAATTCAGCAATAATAGTTGGAGACTTCAATACCCCACCTCCCATGGTGGATAGACATGTAAACAGAAGATCAATAGATAAATAAAAGACTTAAGCGACACTGTAAGTCAATGAGACCTGATAGACATCTACAGAACCACCACCCAAGAGCAGAACACACTCTTCTCAGGTGCACAGTGAACACCCTCCAGGACAGACATTTGTTAAGACACAAAACAAATTCTAGTTACTATTTTTAAAGGGCTGGAATTACACAAAGTATGTTCCTGGACCACAACGGAATGAAATTAGACATCAATAAGAGAAGGAAAATTGGAAAATCCACAAATATGTGGAAATTAAACAATGCACTTTTTTGTTTTGTTTGTTAGGCACCCAACAAAAACAGAACACCCAAACTCAGAGGCGTGCAGTGTAAGCCGCGCTCAGAGGGCGCCTGTGGCTGGAAAACACCTGCGTTCAACAGGAGGGAAGATCTCAGGTCAACAACTGATCTTCAACCCTGAGAAACCAGAACAGAAAACTAAACCCCAAGTGAGCAGACCAGAGCAGATATATTTAGGAACAGAAAGTAGAAAACACTAGAGAAAATCAATGACACCAAAGGCTGGCTCGTTGGAAAAAGTCAACAAAACTGACAAAGTCTTTCCTAGATTGACCAAGACAAGAAAGAAGAGAAATGACTAAAATCAGAAAAGGCAGACCTGAGCCCTGGCCGGTTTGGCTCGGTGGTTAGAGTGTGAGCCTGTGGGCAGAAGGGTCTCCGGTTCGGTTTCAGCCAAGGGCATGTACCCCAGTTGCAGGCTCGATCCCCGGCCCAAGTCAGGGCGCGTGCGGGAGGCAGCCCATCGGGGTGTGTGTGTGTCTCTCTCTTTTCCACTCTCTCTGAAAAGCAATGGAAAAAAGATCCCCGAGGAAGGATTAAAAAAAAACCAAAAAAAAAGGTAGACCTTACACAGAGATGAAAATGATTGTAACAAGGATTACAGTTGTTCATAGACTACTACGAACGACTGTATTTTATTTTTTCATTTTTTTTAATTTTTATTTTTTTTCTTTTTCGAACGATTGTATTTTAAACAAATTAGGTAATGTAGAAGAAATGGACATATTCCTCGAAGGACAAATGGATAAGCCTGACCAAGAAGAAATAGAAAATCTGAATATAACCTGTAACAAGTAAAGGTTGAGTCAGTAACAATAATAAACAGATACACGTTCCCCATAGAAAAGTCCAGGACAGGTGGCCTCCCTGGTGAAGTCTTCCAAAAACTTAAAGAATTAACAACATTTTCACAAATTCTTTAACAATAGGACAGGAGGAAACACATCAAAAGCCACATAAACACACAAGAAAAGAAGGCTCTCGACCAATATTACTCCGCACGTAGACACAAAAGTACTCAATGAAGTGCCAAGCAAAGCCCAGAAGTACATGTAGGGATAACCTACCCCGCCTGGTGGGGTTTGTCCAGAAATACAAGAGCGGTCCAAGCAGTGCCACACGGCACACCAAGAGGATGAAGCTGCTGCATCGGGCGTGGGGTCCTGGCTCGAGGACGGACACCCCCGCCCCGCAACTGGAACGGGGTGGGGAGAACGGAAACAAGCCCAACCGTGTGTCAAGAACAGTCTCTTTGACAGACGGTGCTGGGACATGGGACGTACCCATGCAAAAGAATGAAGTTGGACCCCTACCCTGTGCCCGATACAAGAAATGACTGAAAATGGGCCGATAATCTAAATGTAAGAGCTAAACTAAAAAACCTGTAAAAGAAAACCTGTGTCTAAACCTTTCCAACCTTGGATGTGGCAATGGATTCTTAGATCTGACCTCAAAAGCATGAAGAACCAAAGAAAAGATGGATAAGTTGGACATAGTCAAAAACCTAAAACTTCTGTTCAGAAAAGGACATTATGGAGAAAATGGAAGAACTCACAGAACAGGAGGAAATGCTTGCAGATCACATATCTGGCAAGGGTTTGGCATCCAGGATGGACAAAGAGCTGTACCGAGGAAGGAAGACACAGCATCTGGATAGAAAATTTTCTGGAGCAGATCCACGGATGGACGATAAACACATGAAAAGACACTCGACATACGATCATCAGCAAAATGCAAATCAGACCCACACGAGGTACCACGTCACAGCTTGTTTTCTCCCCTTTTTTTAAAGAAGAAAAACTGTTGGCAAGGATGCGGAGCCCTCGGAGCCCTCATCCAGGGCCGGTGGGATACGAGATGTTGTAGAGAGAGGAGAGGGAGAGACGGAGACCCCCTCCGAGCGGCCAGCTTCCACCACCCGGTTATGCACAGAGAGACGCGCTCTTTAGTACAGACACGCCCCTGGCCCCAGATTGTCCACTCACCTCGTGCCCAGTCCAGGGCCGAGGGAAACACTGCCCCCGCTCCCACATACCCTAAGGGGTCGTGACCCTTGGCCCTGCCCCCCAGGTGGAGGTCGGCTGAGGAGCTCACGGACCGTGAAGGTGGTGAAGACCCAGTCTCTGGGGAGGCCCTTGGTCTTCCGGAACTTGTCGTTGATGTAGCGGTTGAGCTGCTCCATGCTCCACACTGTGTCTTCCTTCAGGAGCATGTACAGGGGGCTTTTCTTCTGCATGAACTGGGGAAGGTGGTGTGGCCTGGAGACCTTCTCCCCAGAGCACCCAGAGGCCCTGTCCCCCGGGACACCCTGCAGCAACCCTGCTGCGGAGACCCGCCCACAACCCCTCCTTCCGCTGAGACCTCTGCAGCCACCAAGTCCCCCACCTATCCCCACCGGAGGCCCCACCTGGACTCCTCCCGTTATGAACCTTCCACGGAGACCTCTGGCCCACAGGCTGTCTCCACCGAGGTCTCCACAGAGACCCCCTCCCCCGGGCTCCTACCCCTCCCCTTGCCTCACCCACACCTAGAGGGAGCCGAGCTGTGGCAGGTGGGTGCAGGGTTCTCGGTCGCTTCACCAGGACACCCTGTGGTGGCTGCAGGTGAGGGGCCGCGCCGGCTGCGGGCATGGGCAGCCCAGGCCACCTCAGGGCTGGACCGCCTCGGAATCTGAGCCACGTGTGCAGCTGGACTCTCGTCTGTGTTTCTGGGCTGCAGGGAGGACCCGCACCTGGTTGGTCAAGTGGCCACTGAGGTCTTCGGAATGGGGGTCGTAAAGGCTGAGGGTGAGGCGAGCGTAGCCATGGCCAAAGAAGACCATGTAGGGCATGGCACAGGCGATGAGCAGGTAGGAGCGCACGTCAAACTTCTTCCCATCCAACAGCAGTGGGTTCTGGATGTACCTGAGTGGGCACATGAGGGCTGAGCACACGGCCAGCCTGGCCAGCGTGTGTCCTTTTGCCTCAGCCTAGCCTGGACCAGTTTCTCAGTACCCCCCCACCTGCCCCAGCTATGACCTGTGCCCCGTGCCCCTCCCCATGAGTGCATGTCCATTGATAGGGGGACATTTCTGAGCCTGCACAGTTCAGAGGATCCCTGGATCCCTGGGTGTCTGGGGTGCTCAGGCTGCAGCAGGGAGGACTGCCTGGAGGAGGAGGGAGGGCTGACATTTGGCCTTAAAGGGTGAGTGGCACGGGAGAGGCAGGGAGGGGCCGTCCCAGGTGGAAAGAGCTGCGGGACTAAGGCTCCGTAGGACAGAGCTTGGGATGGCCTGGCAGCCGGGGTGGCCGTGAGACTGACTGGTTCACAAATGCGGAGGAGGAGCCCCGGGGCGAGCTTTCCGGGGTGACCGTGCCTCCCCGCGCGAGACTAGGGTCTGGGCCCCGCCCAGAGGCGGAGGGATGGGGGGACAGCCAGCTCTGGCTGCAGGCCTGAGGGCTGCAGGCCTGGGTGGGCTTCCTGCAGGACAGAGGGGCAGTGCCCGGGCAGGGGGTAAACTGACCAGACCTTCCCCGCGCCACCCCCATGTCCACTCAGGAGCCTCTGTCGGGCGGCTCGTCTCCTGCGCCTCCCCAACTGGATGGGACACCTCCCCTCTGCTGGCTGCTGGGCGCCCCGCCGGGGGCACTGCGGCCTTGCACAGCCACGGACCCCGAGGGCCCACGAGCCCCAGGCGCCCGCGGGGCCGGGCC